TGAAGGGGGGGGTGCGGGGGGGGCCGCGGGAGGCCGCTCGTCAGGCTGGGAGAGGTGATGGAGGGCACTGCCGATGACGAGGGGGAAGACAACGACAACGAGGAGGGAGGAGGGGGGGGGAAGAAGGAAGCGTCACTGCCTGCTGTTGCGGTGGGGGCGGTGGTGGGGCAAGGGACTCCGGCGACCGGCAAGGTGCAACTCGTGTCCGCGAAGTGACGGCAACTAGCTGCCACCGCCGACAGCCGAGCAAGTTGCGTTGATGGCGATGGAGGGTGGCTTTGTTGAGTCCATCTCCCATCCCACTCCTTCTTTGTATTTTTGTATTTCCTGCCTTTCGCGCGCGGGGGGGGGTAAGCGTCGGCGACTATTTATATGTTTAGCACAGCGGTTCGGCTGCGGCAACACGGCAGCGTGTTCGCACCGGATCCATCTGCGAGGGTAGTCCGCGGGCGCACACGCTCCATCGGTGATCGGCGTGCTCTTGTGGCGGTGACCGGGATTGCTTATTCGTAAGAGGCGGAGGGCATGGGGGATGGCAGCGTCTTCCCGAGAAGACAGGCGGGTTATGCGGCATCGCGCTCGTAGGGGGCAATTGGTGTAGTGACCTCTCACCCTGTAGTGCCCTCTCACCCTCTCCTTACGCGTCGAAGGGCTCTGTATCTTGTGAGGTGTGATCAACGTGTTGGTTGATGAATGTATGTTGAGCTCTTCGAGTGAGTGTTGTAATATGGGTCAAGCAGTTGCCTGGCGACTACTAGTTGCTGCATGTTGGAAGAGGACTCGAGTTGGAATTTGAAGAGATACTTTGGCAGGAGTGGACGCGGGCCCGGTTTCGCTGCAAAGTATTTCGGTGGCACACCGCAATATGATGAGAATCTATTCGACCAGAGGTTCGTGTTTTTGTGGGGTCATTTTTCCGCTGGGCCGCATAGATGCACCCTGCGCGTACGGGGCAAGGGGAAGCATCCCCTGTGTGACAGCCCTTGTGTGACTGACGGCCCCTCTCTTGGGCAATCACGGTTGAGCCGGGGAGGGTACATTTTTTTTTTCCGGAGGCACTGTCTATTCGTATCCGGCATTGCTTTTTTATGTATAACGTGTTTAGTAAGGTAGATCTAGAACAGAAAAACAAATCAACGTCTTGTTCGTTTGCCTCTTCACGCACGCATGTCGCCGCCGCCCCCGCCGCCTGTTCTTGCGGCTCAAGTTCTAACGAAGACGACGGCGAGGTACGGGCGCTTCCCCCCCAACCAACCGCGATGAAAACTTCGATCCACACAAGCCCCGGTAGTGTTTAGTAGTAATGATAGTAATAACTTTGGGATCAAATGTCTTCGGGAGAAAGTGCGATTAAGACGGATTATGTTTTGGCGGGGCGGGGGGGCGGTTCGTACCTCATGGCAAAGAACGATGGGGATCAGAGCTGTTGGGGGGGGGGGGGGAGACAGGAACTGTCGGCGCCTTTCCAGCGTAACTGCAGTATGTTGGGGTCTCTCGCGTACGTATCGCGAGAAGATCGATGTGGTAAACACGATGGGTAAAATGGAGAGTCGTGCTTGACCGACCTGCATGTAGAAGATGGATGTGCCCCACACGATGGGTAGAGGAGAACCGGCCTTTGCATGTAGAGCCGCTTTGCTCTTATTGGGATCAGAATGTGAGACAGACACGGCAGAGCGAGTGGACGAGGAAGAAGATTCCGCGTGGTCGTGAAGGGGGGGGGCTATTGATTGTGTTGTGTTCGTTTGGAGCCCTCTTTTCGTTCCCGTGTAGTGTACTTTGGTTGTGTATCCATCCACAAAGAAAAGAGTGTTCGTCGATAGCACGCTGCACAACAATCGTGCGTCTCGCCCTCTGCCGATGGGCAGGAAGGGAACGACGAAGCGGCACAGCAGCCGCAAGTATGTGAACGTCTTTTGTCAATGCTTGTTGTCAGAAGTTGTGTGCACCCACTCGGCGGGGAAAAATGAAGAGGGTGCAAATTTGTTGACTTAATACTTTTTTTTCTTTGCTTGTTTTGTGTCTCGCCCGTTGCTCGTTTAACCTCGTCATCATGTTTTATTTCTCTTGAGCACACCCTCCTGTCTTTTCGTAGGGCAGCAGCATACACAACGGTCTGGCGGCCGCCTTCGGTGGCGGGGGATCGGATGTAGTTCGTACACGTCGCTCACACGCTCGTGATGCTCGTCGTGGCTTAAAAAGGCGATAGAGCGGATTCTGCTGTAACTTCACCTCTCGTCGGTATGTGTCACGCGTCAGGTCGCCGGAAAAACTGGAGTATGGTTTGTGGTTTCAAGACGTCGGCAGCCCAGATCTCGTCGGTTCTTAACGTCGCTCCCCCGTCCGACACATCGCCGATGGCGAGATTCGGAGGAGGATGCGCCATGTTTCACCGTCTGTCTGCCCCATTGTTTTGCTTGTTTTTCTTTCTTTCGGATGGGAATTGATCGATCCGCCGCTGCCCTGGATGGACCGTGTCGAAGCAGCGTGTGGGATGTATCATCCATCATCTCGTATTGAAACTGTTTCGCGAGAATGAATGAATGGATTTGTTTATCATTTGGGTTAGTCTGTGTGATTATATGGTATGGGGATTCCATCATGTGTAGTACGGAGTCTCGAGGAGAACACTCATGCTATGAATACATACATGTAGACTGTGCGGCGGGTTAAGGGCCTGTCCCTGTCGCGTTGTTTCGCAGCATGCTGCTGTGTTGGTAGAAGGCATTCAATGAAGAAGCGCAGACAGATGGTAAAACCAAAATCGAGAAACGTGGTTCTTCGGAAGATTGATCCAAGAAGGAGTGACCGCTGGTGGTCGCTTGCGGTCGTGCACAGGTTGGATACTGACGGCCGGCAGGAACAAGCCACGTGACGAGGAGCGGTCGGAGCTCGACAAGAAACCTCCCTTCGTCTTCGCAACATGTGTCAGGCATACCCAATACCGCGGCATGCCACGACAATCCGTCTCCTTGCGGGCCGGAACCATGTGAGCGAGTGATTTGCGTCGGTCGGGGGCTTCACACCCATCGGAAGAGTCGCACCGGGTGTGCCTGAAGCAAGAACGGGTTGGTGGGTTTGAACTCCACATGTTGTGTCGAATCTGGGGGCGATAATCACATTGATGTTTGACAACTCTTCGGGAGTAAGATTCCTGATAACACGGGTGCCTCTTGGTCACTCACTACAGCTGTAACGGATATTTGCAAAATGGACGCTAAGTACACCTGCCGTTGGATGACCCTGCGCCTGTTATTGTTGCGGGGACGGAGGTTCTTTATTGTTCGCTGCCTCCCTTGGCTTAAACTTTCGGCCAAACTCTAAACATCATAGAGTCGAATGAAATCTTTGATTTATTCGTAGATCTTCTCCGGGGAGTATTCTTGGAATCAGGTTGTGTGACCTTAGGGTGAGCTAGCGAAACAACACACAGTGCTGCCAGCTGTAGTCAGGGTGAGTTGATTGATTATTCGATGTGGAATGACCGGGAGCTAAGAGTAATTCGAACCGTCTCACCCCACAAACATGCAAAACATGCCCTTCTGCGAGCCCCCTTGAGATGCGATGATCGTGCCCCCCCGCAAAGGAAAATGTGAATCAGAGCTGTGATATTGGCGACATCACATATCCCGCCAGAATCTTCATCTCTCAATTTTGGAATCCAACAACGCCGTTCACTTCATGTACAGTGAATTGTATACACACCACTTTGACACATACGCCGAACCGTCCAGGGACATGGAGGAGCTAGAGCAGAGGATCACCAGCAATCATTGGACATCGGGCTTGCGAATGAAGTTAAGCGAACTCGTAAGCGACCATAGATGCTGGATACGCCAGGATATCCTGGGATGCTGCTGCATCTCCGAATTTGATAATCGTACACTTCCAAGACCCACCAGCATCGTGTCAGCACTACACCACACAGCAGCAGCAGCAGCAGCAGCAGCAGCAGCAGCAGCATAGACGAGTCCACCAAAACAGCAACACACGCAGTATCACCGTTGCTCCACATATACCCTCGTTCAACCTGGAGCCATTCATACAGAGGTACGTGTGTGCTGGTGTGATTGTGGGAAAACACACGGGAGCTCTAGTTGGGGAGTACTGAGAACAATGTAGAAAATACAAGCCCTCCCAGATCATTTAAAAATACTGAAAATAGAGTAGTTTAGGCAGCTTGACTGTTCTTTTCAAGGTCTACAACGCTAACCTGCCCACCAGCCGCACCACGACCACCCATCAAACCTTCTATGTCCCTGTCTGTGGCCACCCTGTCGTGGGCTGCCTTCATGGCGAACAGGTGGAGATAGCTGTTGCGTCCACAGAAATACACTGCTGTCTCCCTTTCTGCACTTCTGTCTCTCCCGCGCTCTCTCCCCCTTCTTTGTTATGCTATTGCCGAAAACAAAAAATGCTACGTAGACCCAAAGGGGTTCAAGAGGAAAAACAGAGTAAAGACAAAATAGAGCCTAGCTGCAGTCCTCCTTGATCGATGCAATGCCTTGCGCATCAGCCCGTTGAGTTCACCTGGCACGGCTTGCCGTATCCATTCTGAAACTGAACCATTTCGCAACAATTTCGTGTTCAACAACCCCGTGCATATGCAAAATTCGTTCAAGCCCAAACGACCAACAGAAATGGGTCCTGTCACACATGTCACTATCCCACCGTGCACTTTGCGGCGCGGAACTCTCTCGAGACTAGCCCCTCCTCCATCAAGCTCTTTCGTGGAAGACAGAAGCAATCAGTTGAAGATCGAACTATGCACGGAAATCCACGACAGATCATCACTACTCCCGTTTCGAGGCACGATCCCTACACCCCGGTCCCGATGTTCTGCTTGGGGCGAATTGTTTTTTCGCGTTTCGAAAACAGAAAGAACACACGGGGGTATCAGAAGTGTAGACCCAGCCTTTGCGGTGGGTATGAGGGAGGAGCGGGTCTGTACGATGTAATCGTCGCGCGGTAGAGGAGATATCGTCGTTTCAACCTTTTTTTGTTGTTTCTTGTTTTCTGGAGGTTTCGCCCAATCCGGGGCTTCCTAAAATCGAATGTCTCTGCCCGAGCGCGTGACAACATTGACAACAAGGGAGTGCTTCGAATGTATTTTTTCACTCCCAATCATCGTGAGGCCACTCGCCTGTGTTCGTTTTGTTACTGTTGTGTTTGATCGCTTGCTTGGGGTGGAGTTCAGACGCAGGTGAAGCACGAATCACGCTGCCGACTGCTGACCGAGCTCTGCGCCTTCTCAGTCGCGCTGGTGTTCGTCGACTGTCATGACACGTGCTGTCATGACACGTGCATGATGGCGATACTGCTGTGTCATGAAACGCCTCCACATCTCGCATTATTTGGTATGATCGTTTTAGATGAGTTTTGTGTCACGGCGGTTTTTGGACGTTGCTGGGTTATTTTTTGCTTGTGGGCGTCTGCTACAGCGCTGTCCGCGTATACATAACGGCCTTGGTCGTGAGTGGCCCGTGTCTGATCCGTGTTCCCGTTGACCTGGTGGGGTTGATTGAATGGTCTGACTGCAGGTTGCAAAGCGAGCGGTGGATACGCGAACAGATGGGAGAGACAGATATGGCAGGCAAGAGGCGCTTGGAGCAAGAGTTAGTGAAAAGTGATTGCGAGATGTATGATGACTTACCGGAGCATTCTCTGCCTTTCGTTTGGTACTGTCGCTTGTGGGCGGGTTTGTGGAATAATCACGCGTCCCGGAGGGAGCGAATCATTGAGTGTTTCCGTTTTTTCGGTGTTGATCGTGATACGGCTCAATTGTGAGAGGTACCATACTATGGCAGCTTTTCTGTTTGTGGTCTGGTTAGGGTCGTCTAGTGCCGGGCACCTTTTTTTTACTTTGTTTGTGCACAGCAGCGTCGGCGCACAAACGACCTCTTTCTCACGTATTCACCGTGAGCTGTCATTCTCATCCGATTTCTCCCCTTACCTTGAAAAAATACACAAAAAATATTGAGTTAACGCACTAACTATCCATGCATCTTGTTGGTGCCGGGGGGATCAGTCGTCTTGCATCCTTCGCACCAGCACGGGCTGAAATTAATTAGAGACCAAATTTGAGTGTTTCGTTCACACCTCCCTGTGCAAAGATGAGGTCAAGTGCATCTGGATCATGCGGAACGTTACAGGCACAGGTCTTCTTGACGCGTGGCCACATGGAAGTGGCTGTTCAAACAAAGAGAGTCAGGGCCAGATCGACCAACGGTCATTACATTCATCATAGAGTGAAAGAATCCGAAGAATGTCATCGCCCACGTCGGAAAAGCCACCATTATTTTGGTTTTACCGCCTTCGCCAAAGTCGTTGCCACGGAAAAACGAAAAACCGCCTACCACCACAACAGTTACCACCACCGCCGTTTTTCGTGTTGATCCCTTCACCAAAGTCGCGAGAATGGGCGACTATGATGCTCTAGCTGTCGAGACCCAAACTCGTTACACATGCGCCAGGTAAGAAGGACGGCGGGGGGGCGCCCTCAGGATTACCGCAGCAGCGAACATTTCCTCATGACCCACCACACCCTATTTAGTGTCTGGTACGGTCGTAAAAGATATATTACTGCAGCCAGTACTTGCTCTTCGTTCCGGCGTGCTTGGTTTCTGACTTTGCTACAACCTAATCGAATTTCGCCACAGCCACATGCTGACAACCATCCCAAAAACGACGAAACGCTTAAAAAAAAAATATATATATTACGCAACACTCGGAAAAGTCCGGACCTCATGAGAAGAGGTCTTTCGCCACTCAAGCACATCAGGAATCACAAGTTACAACAAGCCGCAAGATACGAACAAGATACCAACTGTGTTCTCACAAAACCTTCGCGGGGAAGGAGAGTCCATCGCTCAGACTTTGCCTCGGAAATATTCATATGCAAGCACACGTAGAACGGAATACCCTGCGCACGCACCTACCGCCTGACGCAAATTACCGTACGCGCTTATCACATGTTCAGCCAACGGTGTTTCTTCTACGGACCAAAACCTAGTACATCAAATGCTGTCACCGTCATGTACCGAGAAACGCCCCTCTGCACGACCTTGTTCATGGCATCGCTTCATCCATACCGCGAAAAGCGCCACCCTGCCAATCGAACCAGATGTAGCCGAAACCATGGGTGTATCAATCACGAAAACCTTCGCGCGAGCCTATGGCTCAGACTCTACCTCGGGAAATAAATATATATATGCAAGCACGCGCAGAATGGAAATACCCTGCGCATGAACCTATGGTACTAAATAACGCAATAACAGTACGCACGAAGCACATGATCAGTCAACGGTGTTAATTCACGAAGTGCTACGGACGAATGCCTACCAAAACAAACCATCAACCTACTCAACGATTTCCCTGCAACGGTGCTACTCAACCAAGCGCCACGGACCAAAACCTACGATAAATGCCATCACCGAGACCGCGAAACGCCCCTCTGCACAACCCTGTCGCTTGCACCGCCTCATCCTTGCCGCCAAATGCACCACCCTGCAAGTCGACCCACATGTAGCCAAATCGAACACCGCCTACACACGCCGCCTGTACTGGCACGTGTGAAGAAAAACGACAAGCGTGCAGAAAAACGACAAGCATGCAGAAAAACGACAAGCGTGCAGAAAAAGACGACCAACATACACCCACGGATGAATCAGGGGAAAAATCATTGGCGTTACCTCGAAACACGCTCGTAGGCACCTTTGTTCTGCCCCGACAGCACGCAAGAGAGGTTAATGTTCTGTGGCAACTTCGTCGGTGTACACACTCCCGCCTCCCAGTCACATTACATCTCACTCTCAGAATGTTACGCCTGACGGAACGCGGGGTGGTTGCCGCCTCCAATCTGCAGGGGGCCCCGTGAGGACGAACTCCGAAAACACGATTAAAGCAACGAAACAACCATGGACGGTGAGGAGACGCAGGGCACCGCTCAAGTTACACAGCCTCGACGATAGACGGTCGATTGCCAAACGAATGTACAAAGTGGGAGGGCCAACACTGTACGTGTTGCTGCTAAAGTTTCGGTGTATTCTCCATGTTGCTGCTGCTGCTCGGTGTTGCTCACCGAACGGAAAGCACCCCTACAAATCCCCAAACAAGACAACGCACGCGCAAGTGCATGGTCTCCAAACCACTACACACTGCACGCTAGCATTCATATATCACCGCTATTGCACGACTCACGTGTGTCGCTGGCACACGCCTAGGCCCCACACGCAATCACAACACATGGCAATCAAACTCCAAACAAAAGCAAGACATAACCATCGCCGCATCTAAGCACCAACAGCAGCGAACGCTTCCAACCAAGCGCACTCCGACTACCGCCCTCAACCTGCAACACCGTTGGATTGGCCGAACACCACAAGCACAACACATGGCGTGGCCTTCATGTCCACGCGTGACTTTCTGATGTTTCTCCCGCAGCCCTTTCCCACCCTCGCAGCCAGTGCGCGGACAAGACTGCTGCGGGTCGGGTGGCCCACCAAATAACCCCTACACCGCGGCGGAACCTCCAGGGGTCCTGTGAATCTGGTGGGAGTAACCACCCGCACTCCTGCCTCCGGCCACCTTCTCGTCTCCTGACTGCTCGATGGCCGCCTTCTCCCGGCTCTCGAAGTTGTCAAGCAGACGGCCGCCCGTTCTGGCGAGGAGGTAAAAGACGATGCTGCCGACTACAAGGATTGCGGCCGAGGAGAGCGACAGCTTCCTGCACGGCCAGGGGGGGGGGGGGGGGGGGGGGGGCCGC